ATGCGAATTGTGAAATCACGTGGTTGTGACATTCCTTCGGCACCGGTGCGATGACTCCTAGCTTCCACCGTGCTTTTTATGCACACCATAAAACTTGTCATTCCCCAGTGACAATAAGTTCCGTCAGGGCACTCATTGGCCACTAACGCGAATCCAAATATTCGTCGACGGATTGATTGTTGACGAGCGCATACGTCCGAGTGACGCAGTTCTCGTGTCCAATGCGTGAGCAGGGGTTTGCTGACGTCACGTTGGCACCGCTGACGCGCTTTGAGAACCGCGGATGTGTCATAGTGAAAAGACTGAGAGCTTTCGAAGGCAAGAAGGTACAAAAATAGTCCGCTATATTTTCAAATGTTCGTAACAAAAAGCTGGCTTTTGACTTTCTACCCTCTTTTTGTTTTGGCCAACTAAACGATATGCGAATAGTGAAGTCCCAATTTAAAATCATTTATCCCAGCCCAAAATTCGTTTCATGCCCCCTTTAACAATGCGTGGAACTCAGCGCGCGCCCTGTGCTCTGCCAACCTAAACGTGCGGCTATGTGAGAATTATTGGCGGCATATAATCGCCTCCAGATGACGTTGTCGTTTTTTCTGACTACGAGTTGAGGGAATGGACGGTAGTCGTTTTTCTCGAATTTGTTTTGCGGCTGCCATGAAGAAAACCAACGTGTGTTTCATAGGCCGTAAATGTCCAGGATTAATTGTAAACTGTATTTATTGAAAGTAGAAAAATTGTTGCATCACCCCTTTAAGTTTACTCATTAAATATATAAATGAGTTTTATCATTCATTACCTTGAGCTTAGTCGCTGATATGACTTGACAGACATTTCTTTGTCTCCTCGTCAGATATTCAACCGAGTTTTTGTCATTGAGTATAGTTGACATCAGCTAGCTTGCGCCCTTCGCTGTTGATGAATCCAGCAAAGGCACAGCTGCGAATAACCATGAGTACACTTACTCTCAACATAAACATATTTGTTCAGATTCATTTAATGGAATCCAAGACTTTTGAAACCTTTGAGAGCGTAGGGTGCATTATAATAACTCTAAGGTCACTGACAAGGTAAGAACATCAGGGAGGAGCTTCACATGTCTCCTCTCAAGCTTGAGACTCCCCCTCGAAAACGCTCTAACGTCTCGTGCGCATCAAGCGCGAGCGCTGTCAAAACACGGTGGAATGCATGAAGCGCGTGCTCGCTTTATGTGTTCTAAAGACACGCCAAGCAGTTTTCACGCTGTCAGTGACTATATGGTGACATTATTGAGCCTATTATACTAGTCACTTCGTACAGAAAAGATGCAATAAAATATTTTAAAGCGAGCAACTACCGTGTCTCGTCTTGCCCTAAGTGGTGTTATGCAGAGAAGCGATAACATACCGTCCAGGAATCGCTTTTGTGGATTACTGCACCGAACGACTATTGCTTGTGCCAATGTTTTTCTATTAAGGGATAGAGTCCAATGACGTCGAAACACTGTTTATCATTTATGAGACTTCCGAGGAGGAAATAGCAAACTGGGAACCTTAATAAATGCTGAGGTGGTCACCGGCCAAATGAATACCTCCCTTATGTAGGATATATAATGCGGTGGAGCAGTCAAGGGGAGTACGATTAGTGTGTTGTGAGTGCTTAGTTATGATGTTTGCGTTCGTTTCTTCCATGTGCTTTGTTTCCTTCATGTTGCATGCTTTAAGGAATTATACAAAAAATTATCAACAACTTGCAATGTTTTTTTTTAACACAGTTGCAGTAAATTCGATTGAATGGCGTTGCAAAAATGCAATTGAAACTATATTGCAAAATTTGTATTGAAACTCAATAGCAAAAATTCTATTGAAACACAAATGCAGAAATTCAATTGATATGCAATTGCTAAAAATTCAGTTAAGACTCGGTGGCCAATATCCTGGGACGGTTCAATAGGAACTCGTTAGAAAAAGTCTATTGAGTTTCAATTTAGACTGAATGCGGTGGTATTAAGTGAATCCTTTACACTTTCAATTGAAACTCAATTAATTTTTTGTAAGGGATTAATACATTTAAAAGCAGTACCTTTTCGCAAATTATTCAAATTGGTCAGGCCTAATAAATGCCCCCTCAATACTGCAATTACAATATTACACCTAAAACCAATAAATAAGAGGTTAATTCACAAATTTTAGTTAACCAGATCAATTCAGCACGACGATTATCACTGCATCTAATGTTTAGCGAGCCGCATAAATATATGGCGAAGGCGACATCTGTTTGCAGATGACGTCAATCCGCCATTTTGTCCTTAGTTTCTTTTTTAAAACAAATTTACTACTTTGAACGATTACATCCCAACCGGTTGAGATGATGTCAGCGTGGTAAGACATAAGCTTCTGTGCTCTACGCACTTGAGGGGTCATGAAAATCCTTGGAATGCTCGAGTTTGGCACACGCCAGACAGCTCACAACAACAAAATGCTGGACAATATTATGTCAGTAAAAACACCCTATAGGGTGTATTCACTAGCGGTCATAGATGAGCTCGCTGCTCCTTTCGAACCACCGGGGAAGAGAAAGAGAGGGGGAAAGCTGCTTATGTACGAATTTTGAGTGAAAGTTAATCTTCTATAATCTTCTAGATGGAGAATAGCGACGTCTGGGGAAGCCTGAGACATACAAAGGAAAGTCCCGGTGAGAAGAGAGTTTCTCCTTCTCCTCTTGTGATTGCCCGAGAGCTGATGGAAAACTCCTCCCGAGCATGCGCTGTGAGCAGTTACCTCAAATATGGCGTCCAGTGAATTCCGCCTATAGCAGGCGGTAGGCAGAAAGACACTCGTTGAAAAATATTCATTTCCCGATTTTTATGAAGGCCTATCGTGTCGTTAAGCACGGTCAGTTCAGCTCAGCACCGCGCTACAAAAGACGCTTTGGGGTACCGCCGGTGCTAACTCAATTTTACAGTATAGAAACAGGAGTTGCATGGAAGGTCGAACCCCAGAGACACTTCATACGGTGGCGTAAATTCCGAACGTGTATCAGCGATCTCACATTCCTCAATAAGGGCTATCTGCTTTGTCAGCGAATGAAGAACATCTTGATAAAATGAAGGGTGGACAATACTGCTTGTGTCGAGTTTTCTAGTGAGTCACTGGTTGATGTCGTCCGTGGTGTTTTCCGGCCCTTCGAACATAGCACTTTGTAGAGTCACATTTCCATTAAGTCCGCGATGGTGGAGCGTTTCCCGTGTTGTCCCCGCCGTCAGCGCGGTGTGACAGGGCCCCGGGCGGCAGCAGCATGTTGCCCGACTGTTGTTTTTGCCGCAATGTGACAGGGTCGCCGGCAACACGATTTCCTCGTGTTTGGTACGTACCAAACACGAGGAAATCGTTTGGTACATTTAGTACAAAAAATAAATACTTATCGCACTCGTTATTCCCAGCTTCTGCTTCTTTTTTTCCCTGCCTATCGCAGTGCAACTCCCTACCCCGAGTCGCTGCTTTGATCCCACCGCGCTGGATCCTATGAAGGGGCGTGGCGGACAACGAACATCGTTCTACGCCGGCGCGCGTTGGGCTTGTCGACGCCAAAGTATATAGGTACATTAGTAGCGCTGGTCCCGTTCAGAGTCTGAACTTGCCACGATTCGAGGGGCTTTAGCGACCAGGCCGACGATGCGAACAGATCCTCGGCGCGGCAGTCATGGGCCTAGCAGACAGCCGTTTCGCGGTTTCGCTCGAGCCAACCCTCCAGTCATTGGATTTTTCCGACTGTGTCACGGACGAAAGATGTTTTGCTTTTTGGTAAATTTATTTGCTAATAACTCTTAAAATACAATAAATTTCCAGAAAAAATATTTTTTCCTCTAAGTTCCTACGTATGGTGAGGTCCGTTTCATCGGAAATTTCAAGCCAGTTCAAAAATCATTAAAAGAGCGGTGCAACGATATTCAATTGGAATGTTTTTTCCTTTACACGAGCTTACTGGCTCATAGTGGGACTCAAGGATACTCGCACGCAACGCCACTGGCCAAGAAACTACTTTGTTGCGGTGTAATTTCAAGGACAAAAGCGATCATTTTCATTCAATCTTTCTTTTGCAAAATTTGATGACGTAACGTGGGGATCGCAGTATACTCCCCAATGACGATATTTGAATGCGGTTCATAGAATGGACCCGGGCATTGTGTGCGCACTCGATTTGGGCTCGTTATAATTACTAGCCCGAGAAGCATTCGGGTACGGGGCCCGTGTCCAATCGCTGCAACGACGACAATAGCCGAGCCATAACAATGTCTGGAACTCGGCGCATGTCCTGCGCTTTGCCAACCCCATCGCTTGGCTAGGATCAACATTGGCGGCATATAATCGGCTCCAGATCACGTGGCCGCTTGTTCTGGCTGCAAGTTGAGGGGGTGAACGCTGGTCGTTTTTCTTTAATTTTTTTCTGGGACTTCTATTGCGTGAAGTGAAAAACGAACGCGTGTTTCATAGGTCATTAACGCAAGGGATCCGCTCTAAGTGGTATATGCGCAAAGTAAAAAAATTGTTGAATCGCCCCGCCCCTTTCAAGGGCTTCTTTTAAAGATTGTTTTTATTATTATTACACGTAGGGACGAAAACAGTACAAGTGCCATCTTGCACCGTACGCAAAAACCTGAAAACGTTTTTGAGATGAAATCCCGAAAGTAGATCTAGCATGTCCCAGCTTATATGACGCCATCTGTGAGTCGCAACGTCAATCAAACGGTGTTTTCTCTCTCTCTGTCTTTTGCATGGGGCTATACGAACGTTTTAAATTCATTTCCTCTCTCCTAAAACATGCTTGTAAGATTAAAGTATGCTAAATGCACCGCCTAAATTCATCTTTGCAGAAAAGCTTTGATACACTCCGTTTATTTCTTTATTTATACTACCTTTCTACGCCCAAACATCGCTCCGCGAAACATTTTGTATGCTTAGTTTTGGCAGCTCAGTTATTCGACGGAGTGCCCTTTAATGGAAGGCGGTGTGGTTTGGCAGGTCCCACGGTGGCCTTCATGTGCGAGTTCGACGCGCTGCCGGAAATCGGCCACGGGTGCGGCCACAACCTGATCGCCGAGTGCTCGGTGGCCGCAGGCATCGCCGTCATGGAGGCCCTGAAAGCGAGACCCGATATCCCAGCCAAGGTGAGTCAACAGGATGCCGCACTGGGATGTCGCCAACCTGCCGACGCACGAATTTGACCAGGTTCGAGATCGACCAGGTTCGAGATCGACCAGGTTCGAGATCGACCAGGTTCGAGATCGACCAGGTGCGAGATCGACCAGGTGCGAGATCGACCAGGTGCGAGATCGACCAGGTGCGAGATCGACCAGGTGCGAGATCGACCAGGTGCGAGATCGACCAGGTGCGAGATCGACCAGGTCCGAGATCGACCAGGTCCGAGATCGACCAGGTCCGAGATCGACCAGGTCCGAGATCGACCAGGTCCGCGATCGACCAGGTCCGAGATCGACCAGGTCCGAGATCGACCAGGTCCGAGATCGACCAGGTCCGAGATCGACCAGGTCCGAGATCGATTAGGTCCGAGATCGACCGGGTCCGAGATCGACCGGGTCCGAGATCGACCGGGTCCGAGATCGACCGGGTTCGAGATCGACCGGGTTCGAGATCGACCGGGTTCGAGATCGACCGGGTTCGAGATCGACCGGGTTCGAGATCGACCGGGTTCGAGATCGACCGGGTTCGAGATCGACCGGGTTCGAGATCGACCGGGTTCGAGATCGACCGGGTTCGAGATCGACCGGGTTCGAGTTCGACCGGGTTCGAGATCGACCGGGTTCGAGATCGACCGGGTTCGAGATCGACCGGGTTCGAGATCGACCGGGTTCGAGATCGACCGGGTTCGAGATCGACCGGGTTCGAGATCGACCGGGTTCGAGATCGACCGGGTTCGAGATCGACCGGGTTCGAGATCGACCGGGTTCGAGATCGACCGGGTTCGAGATCGACCGGGTTCGAGATCGACCGGGTTCGAGATCGACCGGGTTCGAGATCGACCGGGTTCGAGATCGACCGGGTTCGAGATCGACCGGGTTCGAGATCGACCGGGTTCGAGATCGACCGGGTTCGAGATCGACCGGGTTCGAGATCGACCGGGTTCGAGTTCGACCGGGTTCGAGTTCGACCGGGTTCGAGTTCGACCGGGTTCGAGTTCGACCGCGTTCGAATTCGACCGCGTTCGAGTTTGACCGCGTTCGAGTTTGACCGCGTTCGAGCTTGACCGCGTTCGAGCTTGACCGCGTTCGAGCTTGACCGCGTTCGAGCTTGACCGCGTTCGAGTTTGACCGCGTTCGAGTTTGACCGCGTTCGAGTTTGACCGCGTTCGAGTTTGACCGCGTTCGAGCTTGACCGCGTTCGAGCTTGACCGCGTTCGAGCTTGACCGCGTTCGAGCTTGACCGCGTTCGAGCTTGACGGCGTTCGAGCTTGACGGCGTTCGAGCTTGACCGCGTTCGAGCTTGACCGCGTTCGAGTTTGACCGCGTTCGAGTTTGACCGCGTTCGAGTTTGACCGCGTTCGAGTTTGACCGCGTTCGAGTTTGACCGCGTTCGAGTTTGACCGCGTTCGAGTTTGACCGCGTTCGAGGTTGACCGCGTTCGAGTTTGACCGCGTTCGAGTTTGACCACGTTGGAGTTTGACCACGTTGGAGTTTGACCACGTTGGAGTTTGACCACGTTGGAGTTTGACCACGTTGGAGTTTGACCACGTTGGAGTTTGACCACGTTGGAGTTTGACCACGTTGGAGTTTGACCACGTTGGAGTTTGACCACGTTGGAGTTTGACCACGTTGGAGTTTGACCCCGTTGGAGTTTGACCACGTTGGAGTCTGACCACGTTCGAGTCTGACCACGTTCGAGTCTGACCACGTTCGAGTCTGACCACGTTCGAGTCTGACCACGTTCGAGTCTGACCACGTTCGAGTCTGACCACGTTCGAGTCTGACCACGTTCGAGTCTGACCACGTTCGAGTCTGACCACGTTCGAGTCTGACCACGTTCGAGTCTGACCACGTTCGAGTCTGACCACGTTCGAGTCTGACCACGTTCGAGTCTGACCACGTTCGAGTCTGACCACGTTCGAGTCTGACCACGTTCGAGTCTGACCACGTTCGAGTCTGACCACGTTCGAGTCTGACCACGTTCGAGTCTGACCACGTTCGAGTCTGACCACGTTCGAGTCTGACCACGTTCGAGTCTGACCACGTTCGAGTCTGACCACGTTCGAGTCTGACCACGTTCGAGTCTGACCACGTTCGACTCTGACCACGTTCGACTCTGACCACGTTCGACTCTGACCACGTTCGAGTCTGACCACGTTCGAGTCTGACCACGTTCGAGTCTGACCACGTTCGAGTCTGACCACGTTCGAGTCTGACCACGTTCGAGTCTGACCACGTTCGAGTCTGACCACGTTCGAGTCTGACCACGTTCGAGTCTGACCACGTTCGAGTCTGACCACGTTCGAGTCTGACCACGTTCGAGTCTGACCACGTTCGAGTCTGACCACGTTCGAGTCTGACCACGTTCGAGTCTGACCACGTTCGAGTCTGACCACGTTCGAGTCTGACCACGTTCGAGTCTGACCACGTTCGAGTCTGACCACGTTCGAGTCTGACCACGTTCGAGTCTGACCACGTTCGAGTCTGACCACGTTCGAGTTTGACCACGTTCGAGTTTGACCACGTTCGAGTTTGACCACGTTCGAGTTTGACCACGTTCGAGTTTGACCACGTTCGAGTTTGACCACGTTCGAGTTTGACCACGTTCGAGTTTGACCACGTTCGAGTTTGACCACGTTCGAGTTTGACCACGTTCGAGTTTGACCACGTTCGAGTTTGACCACGTTCGAGTTTGACCACGTTCGAGTTTGACCACGTTCGAGTTTGACCACGTTCGAGTTTGACCACGTTCGAGTTTGACCACGTTCGAGTTTGACCACGTTCGAGTTTGACCACGTTCGAGTTTGACCACGTTCGAGTTTGACCACGTTCGAGTTTGACCACGTTCGAGTTTGACCACGTTCGAGTTTGACCACGTTCGAGTTTGACCACGTTCGAGTTTGACCACGTTCGAGTTTGACCACGTTCGAGTTTGACCACGTTCGAGTTTGACCACGTTCGAGTTTGACCACGTTCGAGTTTGACCACGTTCGAGTTTGACCACGTTCGAGTTTGACCACGTTCGAGTTTGACCACGTTCGAGTTTGACCACGTTCGAGTTTGACCACGTTCGAGTTTGACCACGTTCGAGTTTGACCACGTTCGAGTTTGACCACGTTCGAGTTTGACCACGTTCGAGTTTGACCACGTTCGAGTTTGACCACGTTCGAGTTTGACCACGTTCGAGTTTGACCACGTTCGAGTTTGACCACGTTCGAGTTTGACCACGTTCGAGTTTGACCACGTTCGAGTTCGATCAGGCTCGAGTTTATGGCGCACCGTGCATTCAAGAGGGCGCCCATCAAACCACTCTGGCATCGTTACCGCGAGGCGGCTATACAGTTGCCTCACCTCAGACACGATCACATGGTCGTGTCGCCGCGGGGTCGATTGGGATCTCGAATTTGGCTCCCGACGGGCCGCTTTCTCTCATAGCCATTAGATGGCGCTGCAGGCGCCCCAGGGCGGGCGAGGAGAAACCTCCTCGCCCATCGATCGGGATATAGTCGGGGGCACCTGGGGCAAAAGTCTCTTAGGACTCCGGGCGGTACCGAGAATAGGCAAGTGTGTGCGACCGGATCTCGGGTAATCGCGGGACACGAGGCCTGGGGGCCCTTGTGTTTAGCCTTGGCTTAACGTGCCAGTGTAAATATGTGTGTAATGTCACGTGTATTTGTAGTTTAGTTTGAGTGTTGTGTTTTATGAATCAATAAAAGGGAGCGGAATCCCGCTCCCGTGAAAAAACCAGGCTGGATTCGGTTTGATCTGGCGTATCGGCGGCGGTACGTGATTTCCTACGAGTTCGATCAGGTTCGAGTTCGATCAGGTTCGAGTTCGATCAGGTTCGAGTTCGATCAGGTTCGAGTTCGATCAGGTTCAAGTCGATCAGGTTCGAGTTCGATCAGGTTCGAGTTCGATCAGGTTCGAGTTCGATCAGGCTCGAGTTCGATCAGGCTCGAGTTCGATCAGGCTCGAGTTCGATAAGGTCGAGTTCGATAAGGTCGAGTTCGACCACGTTCGAGTTCGACCACGTTCGAGTTCGACCACGTTCGAGTTCGACCACGTTCGAGTTCGACCACGTTCGAGTTCGACCACGTTCGAGTTTGACCACGTTCGAGTTCGACCACGTTCGAGTTGGATCAGGTCCGAGTTGGATCAGGTCCGAGTTGGATCAGGTCCGAGTTGGATCAGGTCCGAGTTGGATCAGGTCCGAGTTGGATCAGGTCCGAGTTGGATCAGGTCCGAGTTGGATCAGGTCCGAGTTGGATCAGGTCCGAGTTGGATCAGGTCCCAGTTGGATCAGGTCCGAGTTCAACAAGGTCCGGGTGCGTTCAGATTCAAGGTCAACCAGGTTTGAGTTCGACCAGGGTCGAGTTCGACCAGGGTCGAGTTCGACCAGGGTCGAGTTCGACCAGGGTCGAGTTCGACCAGAGTCGAGTTCGACCAGAGTCGAGTTCGACCAGAGTCGAGTTCGACCAGGGTCGAGTTTGACCAGGGTCGAGTTTGACCAGGGTCGAGTTTGACCAGGGTCGAGTTCGACCAGGGTCGAGTTCGATCGGGGTCGGTTCGAGTTCGACCAGGGTCGGTTCGAGTTCGACCAGGGTCGGTTCGAGTTTGACCAGGGTCGGTTCGAGTTTGACCAGGGTCGGTTCGAGTTTGACCAGGGTCGGTTCGAGTTTGACCAGGGTCGGTTCGAGTTTGACCAGGGTCGGTTCGAGTTTGACCAGGGTCGAGTTTGACCAGGGTCGAGTTTGACCAGGGTCGAGTTTGACCAGTTTGCAGTTCAACCAGGTTCAGTATCAACCAAATTCAAATTCTGCCAAATTCTTTTTTTTACTTTAAAAGTTTGATAGAAGTTCGACTATTATGCGCATGCGCGGGAATATAAAACGAGTTTACGTCTCCTGGCGGACGAGGGGTGCAATATGTTTTGTGTGAATTGCTTCACATGAACACGTTAATTTGATTTAAATCAATTTTTTTACAGCCAGAGTACAGAATGTGGGTATGAGGGCCGAGCGTTTCCGTAAGGAGTTTTTGTAGATCGCTTTCGCCCTCCCGCAATGCTCTCTGCAACCCACTACGATACCCGGAACTCAACAGTCAAGGCCATCGGCGCGCAGGCGCAGTAGCGGCTTCTTCGTTGCGGAGGGCTTAGCAAAGGGGGACTTCCGCTGACGGAGACACTCTAGCTTCAGACAAACGGTGTAAAGTATGGATGACGTCACCAGCACTTTGGTAGCGCTATCTAGATTGTCGTCGCAAAGCTCTGCATTCCATAGAGTTCAGTAAAACGCCGTCTAGAATGTAGACGCTGTACGTCAAAACATATGCATTCCATAGAATACACCGCAGTTACCATAGCAGTAATCCTCAAACCGGTGGAGCGTCGAATGGGGGTACTGCCCAACCAAGCAGCGTCTACGGGCGGTTCCGTAACTGAGGTAATTTAGTAACGTTGACACAGACTGCGCACGAGCGTTGCGTCAGCGATCGGCTGAGCCCTATGTCAAGTAAACTGGTCCAAGGACTCCCGGTGTCAGGTTCGGGCCCAGTTGCCGAGCTGGCGCTACATAAGCATAATGACGTCACGTGGAGGTAGAGGAGGCTGCTCGTAGGCTTTGATTATTATTGGTGGCGTGGGGAAAGTTTCCCTTTAAAGCTATCACTTTAAAACGGTTTACAAAATCGCCCCATTTTAGCGAGTTTTTGTAGACCGCGCTCCCCCTCCGCTAAGCCCTCCGCAACGAAAAAGCCGCTACTGCACCTGCGCACCGATAGCCTTGACTGTAGAGTTCCGGGTATCGTAGCGGGTTGCGGAGAGCGTTGCGGGACGGTGGAAACTAGGGAGTTTTAGAATAACGTACGCAATTTTAGCGCACGCTAGCGCTAAATTTAGCGCTTGTATTAGCGCACGCGACGCGAGGGAGTTTTAGAATAGCGTTTCTCCGCCGCGACGCAAAAGCCCAAGCATCTCGCGCTTGCGACGCCACCAAGATACAGTAAAAATTTTTATTTCACACACGAAGTGATGTAACTTCAGAAGAAAACGAGTTTTTTGGTCCAGAGTCGCATTTTAATTTGTTTAAACATGAGAACGCGACGCGAGCGGTTGACCGGTCGTGTCCGCTTGCGTCGCCTCGGCAAGAGAGGTCTCGTGTACTGACCTTCGCACATCGTTCCTTCGCCGTGAAATGTTCGCGCGTCGCAAGCATCAAGTTGCCGGTGATCGCTGCCAAACCGAGTACATTGTCGTCCCGTATTTAAAATTGCAGTCGCGAGAATGCCGCCGACGTCGCACTCACGACGCCGCCAAAGCAGCCGCCGACATCATCCATGCAAGCCGCCATTTTTTTTTTAACTCTGCTCGTCTTGGCTTAAGCCAACTTCTCATCACGAATCCTCCTTGGAGAAGCGCAAAGACTCTTTGCGTACGCACGCTATTTCCGAGAAATAGCGCACGCTAAAATTGCGCACGCAAAGCGCGAAACCTGTTTTGCGTTCGGAGCATGCGCAGTGGCGACGACGCTATTCTTTGCGCACGCAAAGCTTTAGCGTGCGCTATTCTAAAACTCCCTACTATCTACGAAAACTCCCTATTGTCGGACCCTTCTTTCAGGTGCTTGTTCTGGGGACCCCTGCGGAGGAGAACTGCGGCGGCAAGGAGATGCTCCTGCAGAAGGGAGCCTTCAGGGATGTGGACGTGGCGCTGATGGCACACCCGGGACGCCGAGACGCGCTGAAGATGGGCTTTACGGCCTCGCAACACGTACGTTTACTCGCTTGGGCCAGAGCGACGGTCGTGTCAAATACTTTATTATGAAACACATCTTAAAGGGCCACGTCCTAACATCGATATTTGTTTTATTATTGAAATCGACTGAAAATGATTCGTAGGGATCGCCCTTGAAATATCAAGAAACGCCGCCCGGATCTATGACGTACTAGTTGGCGAAATGATGCACTCTTTGCTTTTTCCGATGACCTCAACAGGAAATGGCGTTTAGTTTTCTCTCTTTACCTTTCGTCGGTCATGGGCACTCAAGGGCCACCCGGCCAACCGCGGAAATATTTCGCGAGACAATTCTTCGCGTGCAGACGGCGTGTTCCATTTCAGTTCCTCTTTCTTTTCTTGTGTTTTAGCAGTGTTACTCGGTCTAAAACGATTTTTCAAAAGGTAAAGGAGAAAACTACCTACCTTGGTCAGCGACGTGAGGGCGATGTCATAAAGGTGCTGCGTGAGAGGGTACCCAAAAAATTATCCGGCACGTAAGAAAAAAAAAAAAAAAAAAAAGCTCGTCCGAGTTTTTGATTTTCCCGTTGTGCGCACTCCTCTCAACGGCCTCGGCACAGCCGCCGGGTGCTGTTTGTCATTAACACTTTTGGGCTCTGATTTTTATTTTTCGAATTCAGGGGTCTAGTATATTTACAGTCGTCGCAAAAAAAAAAAAAACGCATTTTATGAATGACAATTATTACACACATGCAACTTGCGACACCTCTTAGCGTTTTAAAAAACGCTGTGGCTGGAGTTACGTCCGGACGGAGCACTGAAGCGCGTATACCTAACCCTCCCCCCCCCACTCTCCTCTCTCTCACCCGTGAACCTAAGGAAGGCGGAGATTTGGAAGTAACTTGGGTTACGTCGGACGTAACGCTAGACGCTTCGTTTAAAACTGTCCTCGCAATAACGCCACAAAAGACCAAAAAAAAAAAAAACGAGCAGGAGCTTAAATTGGGGGAAAACACAAACTTTTTCGCGCAACAATTTTTTTTTTTGCGATGATTTTTATGGTGTTTTGCCACGCGTTTTTGAAGTTTTTGGGACGGTAAAAAGAATATCGATCTTGGGGTTGTCAGTGGCCCTTTAGAGAGTGTACAAACAGAACACAACAAAAACCACGTAGAAAAAAAAAAAAAAAAACGCGCGTGCGTTTTTTGCAAAGTGTGAAAGTTCCGGCGCGCGCGTGCGTTTTCAGTGGCGACGTCTATTTGATTATTTGTTATTTGACCCTTTTTGACAATACAAAGATTTCAATAGAGCTGGAACAAAAAGGCGACCAAAAAGTCTCCTGACTAGGCCCCTAGTACCAGGTTGCATTCCCTACACTCACCACGCAGGCAGCAGGCAAATATACAGCAAAACAACGAAAAAAAAGGAAGAAGTTAAAAGAAAGCCCGATATGCATATTACCTTGGAAGTCATAGAATTAACAATAGAAAATTATGTTACAGCAACATAATTAAATACATCGACATGTATGATTGGAACGGAAAAAATAGCAAACTACAATGAATGGAGGAAATACATTTTTGCCTGTTTTCTACACTCGCATAACAGGCAGCATGCAAACATATACTACTTATAAGGTCATAGAACTAGCTAGAGAAAAAAAATTGTCTAACAGAAATATAATTACAAATACATGAATATGTATGATTAGAACCGTCAAAACAGCGAACTACAACGGATGAAGGAAATGCATTTTTGCTTGTTTTCTGAAGGACAACAGTGAGGAGCTATTGTCAAGCATTTCAACTAATTCAGGAGGAAAGTTCAAAAAATTAGAAATTAGACAGTTTTTTTTATTATTTATGTGTTTGAAATTGTAATGTATGTCAGTGTTTGTATATGTAGACAAAAATAGTTCACAGTCAGTTTTTAGTTTCGAGAAAATAACTTCAGACAGTCGTTGTTTATATAAAGCCTCAATATTCAGTGTATGGTTCACTTCAAAATATGAGGATGTGTGATCAGATGCAGACAAGTTTTGAACAAACCGTATGTCTTTTTTCTGCATTAAATACTAACTCTCTATTTTTTATTTGGATGTGACTCCATAGACGAGTAAAGAACAATGTAGTCTAGAATGAATGGTAGAAAAGTAAAGTTCTTAATCTATGTAACAAACCGCGGATGACTGAGGAATATTACGTTTCACGAAGCTTACATGAGACGTCCAACGAAAGATTTTTATGAATCTGTACACCTAAGAACTTGAATTAGGAAACCAGTTCTAAAGATCGTGAATTAAATAATAATTCACTGGTAAGATTTACTGGCTCGTTAATTTAAGAAAAAAACATTATACTTTCTTTATTAGCATTTAGAAGAAGCTGAGTGGCATCTAGACACTTGACAAAGTTTCAAGGCACAGGTTTGCGACAGGAAGAAGAGATGATAGGTTTTGGACGAAGAAACAAAACAAAAAAGCATTCGTATCGTCAGCATAGAGAACAATGTCTGGAGTACAGTCAACTCTCATTAATTCAAACTCAAGGGGGGCCGAAAATTTGTTTGAATAAAGCAAAGTTTGAATTATCAGGAGTTTCTTCCCATAGAGACGCATAGGATGGGACCTGCAAGTTAGTTTGAATTATCCGAAAGTTTGAATTAAGAGATTTTGAATTAACGAGAGTCGACTGTATAAGGAATGAAAACAATGTCATTACTATAAAAAAGAAACATTATGGGTCCTAATATGAATCCCTGGGGAACACCGTATCTTATATTATCAGTGCCTGATGCTATATTATTGATTACCACAAAGTGGGTGCGATTTGATTGGTAATTGCGTAATAGGTGAAGTGAAACGCATCTAATTCCGTAGTATGGCTGGTTGTTAAAAACTATATCATGTTTAATAGAATCGAAAACTTTGTTAAAGTCTAGAAATATACCTATCCTGTAGAGCTTATTTTCTATGTTATAACTTATGAATGAGTTTTTCCAGAATGTTGAGCAGAGCAGATTCAGTGGATTTCCCTCTATGGAAGACATATTGATTTGCAGAGATCAACTGATATGTTTTAAGATGATTAACTATTCTGGAATTTAATTAAAGCTTTTTCTATTTTAGAAAAAAAAAAGAGGAAGCATTGATATGGGCCGATAATTACTGATATACTACCCACAGCACCACCCTTGCGCAGAACAGAAATTCTAGCAGTTTTAATTTTTTCAGGAAAGATTCCCGAGGATAACACAAGGTTGGTTAAAGGGGCGGTGCAACGATTTTATGGTTAAAAGAGTTTGCATCTCGTCATTTTTACATTGTTTATCGAGTCCCCGAGGATAGACAAAACACCTCCTTCATTAAAAATGTCGCGATTCCGCTGCATAATCGCAAAGCAAAAGTCGAGCTTTTAGATGCGGAGCATCTCTTGCTCGGGTCTATGTCCCGCGGCGTCGTTGTCCGCACTCACACTACGCATGCACAACTCTCCTCCTTCGCTCTCTCCAACAGCTGCGCGTTGCTCTCTCCGCTCTCTCTCTCTACAAGCTGCGTGCACTTCGCGTGCGTTCGCTTCTACTCACACCGCGCGCGCATGCGCAACTCTCCTCCTCTAGTCTCATCTCCTTCAAGTGTGAATAAAGACCAGTGTCCGCGCCAATTCCAGGGCGCCGCCATGTTTATCTACGCTCGCGCCACCACGCGGAGAGAACTGGCAGGCAGGAGGGGGGGGGGGGGGGGGGCTGCGTTGGCGGCGTTGCTTTGGGGAGCTGGATGCGGCAGGCTGTCCGAATGCACCGGCACATCGTGAACGATGTCTTCACCAGAAGCCTCCGCGACCCGTTCTTCAACAGATAAGATGTCGCGAACATTCGAGAACCCATCTCGATCAAGAAAACAAGAGAAAACCTTTGTTGTCTTCAATGTTCTAGGTGTCTGCTGACCCTTGACATCCGCGTTTCAGTCCGGGTTCATTGCGTAGTAAATATTTCGCTACCGCTTTCTTGTAGCTTTCAAATGCTTGATTGTTGGCTTCTTGTATACGACATTACATTCGTTGCACGTTTGAGACCGATTTTCGCGATCTGCTTGCCTTTCTGCGGAAGCGCGGCTCTCCCGAGCCGAAATAAGTGGGAGGCGTTCACTTGATCGAACGCCGTTTTAGCGAATGCAAACGAGACCACGACGTTTCATCGAATGACTAGCGAATGGGTCTAGTTACATAGACAGCTCGGATTAGCTTTCTTTTGTAATGTGGCGCCTTGTCTGCCGCTGCGAAGCGGCGAAAACGAGGGCTCCGAGTATGTTAGCACGCGTCCCCCCCCCTTACACACACAACAAACACACACTGCGAGCGTCTGGGTTCCAAACTATTAATTGCCAGTTCTAAAGGATGGTACTTACTTGAAGTGGGAGCTGGAATTCTACGAGGTACCAGGAGACACTTACTATCGGGCAACGAAGCACGGTGCCTGTGGGGGCGGAATCTAGGAACGCTACAGATTAATATTGTGACAGACGATCAGTTATGATAGCAGACGAAACTTCGACTCGTTTGTTCAGAAGTTCGAGGTAATATTTTATTAGCCCTCGTTACAGCACACCAAGGATCTTAGGCAGTGAAATTCACATCACGCAGGCTCGTCCGTCGTAGCGAAGTCGACGATGAGGTGTAATGAGCTACTAAGCTTCACAAGGAAAATGCGCGTGAGAAAGAGTTTTAAGGAAGTCCAAAACACCGATCCAGCAGACGTACGTACGTTTACTCCGGACTTCATGAACCCGACCGCGCAAGATCAAAGAGCACCGCCGCCATCGCCACCCGGTTTTCTCTGCACTTTGCGCGACGACGGCACTGCAACGGAGGGCACTAGCCTCGGCGTTAACAATCCGCGAAATATATTAATTTCCCACTCTTGAAGCCATTCCAAATGATAAATGAAACTACCTCGGCGTTGTTGAACATCTGACGACACAACCGACACAAGTGTGCCGCTGGCTGCGTGAGCCTGACACAACTGTGCCGAGCGGCTGC